GACCTGTGCTTCTGTGTCAGCCGATTATCCAAGTTTCATGTAACACTGAGTTAGTGTCTCTCAGTATAGTAACTTTTTAGGATCAGATCATGAAATTATGGCACCAGGTCACTGTGGTGATGAAACACCACACTTAGTATCCAAGAGATAATAAAGGCGGTATGTTCTGGGGCATGTTTTTGGTATTCTACCCCCAAAGAAGGAAAGATGGGAAGCTGACATCTCTCTGGGGGCAGAACTGAGGTATCTCAATTGTCATTATCCATGCTCAAAATGTTTGGGTTTGTGTAAGTTAAACTTTAATTCTAAGTTTCGTGGTTTCTAATGGTTGTTTTGCTTAGAGGGAGTGGGGTGTTACACCACCACAATATTCTTCTGAGAATTTTTACCCGTCAGTTACTGCTGTGTACCATCAGTCAACACTGATAGAGCCCCGCCCGGATAGAAAAATGTGTATCCACATCCAGTCCCCAAAACTTGTCTACCCCCTCCCCCTTTTCTTCCACAGACCCGTCCCCCCGGCCAGGCCAGGCCAGCATAGAGCCCAGCTGGGTGGCCCTAGGGAGACACTGCAGACCTTCCACCTGCCCACAAGGGGCGGGCTGAGAGCAGCCCCCAGTCGTGTCCCCACCCCCCAGGCTCCAACCCAGCTCCGGTGGGGGTGGGTTCATGTGCCCTGGAGCCTCAGCCCAGCCACAGTAAGAGCTGGGCAGGCAGCTGTGAGCAACCACGATGCGGACCCTCCCCCCACCCTGGGTGGGGAGCCTCGGGGGCAGGGCCATGGGCCGGGGGGCTGCTCAGGCTCCCTGTCCAGGGCAAGTGGAGGGTCCACTGCGGCTGGAGCCAGGTCGGGGAGAGCCATGCAGGTAGCGGTGAGCCTAGGTCCCTCCACCTGCTCTGGTGAGTCTGTGCTACAGCTCCACAGCCCTGTGCAGATACAAAATTTGTATCCGCATCCGAGCTGCTATCCGCAAAAATGGTCCACGGATATAAAGCGGATACCCACGGATTTGCAGGGCTCTAAACACCGTAGTGGAGTTTTTGCCTGAGAGTATCTTATAGGAGTGTTCACAGAGCAACCACATTAAAACTCAGATTTGTAGTTTATCTTGGACTGCAGAAATGAAAAAAGACTGGGCTGTCAGAAATTGTTGTCTGTTGTTTTTATTATTTTTGTTTTTCATAGACAGGTAAAAACAAAATAGCCATTTTAACATTTTGTTATTGAAATATTTGTATTATTGCTTGACACTATAGGTTAAGTCTAAGACAGTTGCACAGTGTGTGGAATACTACTATACTTGGAAGAAAATCATGCGTCTGGGACGGAAACACAGAACACGTCTAGCAGAAATAAGAGATGAATGCCTGGTGAGCCTTAAAAAATAAACATAAAACTGTAACACCTGTAAAAAAAAAAAAAAAAAAAAATTAATGTGTGTGCATGTGTGGAAGAGGGCAGGGCGTGTAATGCAGTTTCATTCATCTTTCTAATGGTGGAAACTGAAATGTATTCATGATACAAGCACTTCTACCACTGTATATCAAATTCTGGTCTAGAAACATGCATGTCCTATGTATGCTTTTGCTGCTGGTAGCACTGTAACAGAAAAATATGTGCACACTTTCCTAGATGCATGCATATGTGTATGTGGATATGTATAAAATTGCTACTGTAATTTTCAGTGTATGAAAAGTTGGATAGTTACTCCTATAGACTATTGGCTTGTGTCTTTGGAGAGGTAATTTACCTACACTGGCAAGAAAGTCTTAGTTTGCATGTGAGTTCAGTGCCACTGTTATTTGAGCATTCTTAAAGTAGACACTTCTTTTAGCAGGTAATTTTGCTAGAGTGTGTGTGTGCATGTTATATATTGCCACCCAGATCAATATGAAGCATTGCATGCTGGGATATTTAGACACAACAGCTTTATAATAAAGATGAGGGCAGTTTTGTGTCATATTGTAGAACTCCATGCAGCTATGGATAGATGATCATTTTGTTATGAATAAGACATGGAAAGTCCTCCATTGTGGGACAAATAAAAATGTTACAGCAAGAACCCTGAAGGAAGAGACTGATGCTGTGTTTCAGAACTGTCACTAGTTTTATGCCTTTCCTTTATTCTTGTATGAAATTTTTAGTCTTCCTTAAATTTAATTTTAATTTCAGACAAGCGGGGAAGAGGAAGATTTAGAGGATGAGGAGGAGATGGAAGAAGAAAGAAAATCTGTAAAGGAAGAGGAAAGTGAAATGCAGAAATCTCCTGAACCACCACCTATAGGTCTTGGTGCACCTGTAGACCTGCCACCCCTTCAAAGTCTTACGTTTTCTGCAGCCTCTTTTATCTGTGAAATGCCAAACTGTGGTGCTGTAAGTGTATTTGATATCTTTAAAGCATATGGGGGCAGTATTGTGATGGACTCAGGAGATTAAGGTTCTGCTTTTGGCCTTGCCACTCGTCTGCTGGGCAAGTCATTTCACCTCTCTGTGTCTTAGATTTCCCATCTATAAAAGAGGGCTAAAATACTTAGTCCCTTTTAAAGTACTTTGAGATGTATGGATGAAAAGCTCCATATAAGATCTAGGTATTCTTGCATATTAGAAGGATAATATAATGAAATAACCGGGAATGCCACTCATTATGGTACATTTCTGTTTCTATAATAAGTAAATCTTTAACTTCAACTAGGGATAATTGAGAACAGAATTGGCTAAATGTGTTGTTTGTATCATTAACCAGTGCAGTTGTTTATAGATCAATATAATGTAAATTAAATGTATTTCTCTTTCTGAGCTGCTGGTCTAATGGAGTTTGGTTTTTTCCTTAGGTGTTCAGCTCCAGACAAGCACTAAATGGCCACGCTCGCATTCATGGTGGTACAAACCAGGTGACAAAACCACGATGCACTGGTCCAGGTACAAAGCAAAAGTCTGGCACGCAGAGTGGATACTGCTCAGTCAAGAGTTCCCCTGCCCACAGCACAACAAGTGGCGAGACAGACCCAACAACAATTTTTCCTTGTAAAGAGTGTGGCAAGTAAGAGAATATATCTGTCTATAATAGTAATGAAAGTTTGTCTGCTCATGTTCCAAAGAAATAGAACTTCAACAAGTTTCTAGTAATTATTTATTTTTCCCATGGTTGCTTCAAAGGAGTATTAGTTTCCTTTGACATATTGTGACATTTTCCTTTCCCCATCCACCAAAAAACAACAAAAAACAGCCATTGGAATGCGCCCACAAGCCACCTACCCTAATCTGTTTTGAGAAACTGCTTTGGATATCATTTGAGAGCTTTGGACAGTTTGCCTACTGCATTCAGTCTCTTTCAATTTCCTGGTAGTCCCTATGCAAGAGTTATGCTTCCTGGTTCCAGCAGAGGGAGGCAGATAACCCTAGCATTTTTGTTGATATCAAAGTCTCCTCATTTGGGTTCTGTTTCCAGGAGGGGTAAAACACTCAGTTGGCTCAACTGATATAGTTTCTGTTCAGCTGATGTGGTGTTCTGGACATCTGAAGTGTTGGAAATATAATACATAAAATCAATACAGCCACATCAAGTGACTTGGCTACGTCTGTACCTGCCCACAAAGGTTGAAGTCTTAAAAGCCACTTTCATGAAAGTGTCACATAAAGCAGACATTTTGGGTGCAGATACTAATCAAATCTTGAAAAGTTTTCAAAATTGCAAAGTCTAATACTATTCCAGGATAAACCAGCTGAGCAGTTTAATAGTATCAATGTCTCTACTCTAAGTAGCTGGGTTTTGAAACGTTAGGATTTCAATTCTGTATTCCGTGGGCAGTCTTCACAGAACTCTTCACTTCAGCAAAAGTCAACCATGATTTTGGGAAGCCTGACTGATGATTGTTGTGTTTGGAGTTGGCAGTGCTGCAGTAGATTGATGTGATATCCTAGGAGGGGGTAGCTAAAAAGCATAAATTAACCCTTCCAAAAGAGGGAGGAAGGATGCTCCAGCAGTTAGGGCACTAGCCGGGGACTCCCAAAACTTGGATTCAGTTTCCTGTTCCACCACTGACTTCCTGTGTGACTGTGAGCAAATCAAGTAGGGTGGGATTCACAAAGGTATATAGGTGCCTAAATACTTTATGAATCCCACCCTTAGTCTCTTTCTGCCTCAGTTTTCACATCTGTAAAATGGGGATATTAGCGCACTCTTACCTGATAGGGGTGTTTGGAGGATAAATGTATTGACAATTGTGAGGCACTCAGATACAGCAGCAATTGGGTTCATATAAATGTTTAAATGAAGAAAGCATACAATTGTCTGTATTATTATTAGATTGCAGAAACCTGATGATCGCTCCCTGAAATCCTCCAAGTTGTACATAGATTTCTCTTCACCATCATCTCTTTCAAGACAAGGAAGCAAAGCACATCAGTGTGTTTTTGAATAAAGGCAATAGGATGTCATCTGAAATGTTCTTTCTTCTCTTGAAATTTTAGGGTGTTTTTCAAAATCAAAAGTCGCAATGCTCATATGAAGACCCACAGACAACAGGAAGAACAGCAAAGGCAGAAGGCTCAGAAAGCTGCTGTTGCAGCAGAAATGGCAGCCACTATTGCAAGAACTACTGGGCCAGTTGGACATGATGTGATCCCTCTGGATCACTTGAGTTTGATTAAACACGTTGAGCATGTAGATGACCTTGAAGATGATGTTGTTCCGGAGTTAGGAGATGTCATGGAAGAGACTGAAGTCATGAATGCTGACCTCTTGTTGGATGATGAAGATGCAGATTTACTTCAGGATGATGCTGAGTTGTAAATGTAGAGTTGTCACATGCAGACAGCTACTGAAAACATCCTGAATGTATCCGTCAGGAAACCTGGACAACCTGTTTATTTCCCATTGATTTTAAACTACCTGTTTAAAAATGGTAATTCTTTTATCCAGGTCTAGGGAAAAGATATGCTTCCCACCCATTTTTTAATCAGTTTGTTTGTTGGGGGAAAAATAAATAATTGGCACAAATATTCTTATAAGGTGTTTTATCTGGGTTCTGCTTCACTGAGATTATTCAAAACCACAAATATAACAGAGAAATTCATGTTTCTATTTCCATTTCTTTCCAGCCTTTTTATGGGAGGAACTTTAATCTTTAACTCTTCAGAAATTTCTTATTCTCAGTTCAGTATAACCTGGACTGTTTCATTTTACATGTCTCATTTTGGTTCTATTTACCAGGAAGGAGCTATTGTTGTGCACTTCTGACTGGATTAATTGCCTACAATGGATCTTGCAGTGTTTTTCTGATAGTACTCCATATTTGTTGGAGATGCTGACTTGATGTGTTCTTCTGTTTTGCATTCTTGTTGTATCTGTAACAAAAAGAAATCTGACTAAATATGAAATAATTACAAGAGTGACTATCATCCATTCAGCAGAACACTGCTCAACCTGTACCTGTTAGTCTGCTTGCAAAATATATTGTTTATACTGTACATTTTAGAGCTTCCATTTTAATAGGATTCAAAAGAGAGAGATCCACTGGTTTCTGAATGACCTAGTCTGAGAATTGAAGATGATTCTATAGTGGTTCACTTCAGTTAAAGTGTGGCAGAAACTCACATCCTCTAATTGGAACACTGGATTAGGAGCCCTGCCTTTGTAATTGGGCAGAACTGGAGATACCGTCTATTGTGACAATAAATCACGCTGTTCAATAGCTATCCCAGAGGTTTTAGAGGTTTTGTACAGTCGAGCAGTGCAGGAGCATGTTCCAGAAGACAGTAAATATCAAGAGACATTCTTTCCCCACAGACAGAAGGGGGGAGGGATGTTGTTGATATATCTACTCTTTCAAAAGAACACTTCTGGAAATTTTAACTGCCCCCCTCCCCCACTTTTTTTTTCTTTGGCCAAGATCTGCACACAAGATCTCTCTAACCTTATCTGTATTGACCTTGGTTTGGCACATTCTCCACAGATGCATACACAGTACTGGATTCATAAAGTTGCACCTAAACCACATGCAGGATTAGACAGTGCTTGGATGCATGACCTTTCATTACTAAGGGGCAGTTTTTGAGCTCTTCTTGATATAAAATGCTATAAATGTTTAGGAGGCTTCACTGATAACACTGATGCTCTCGTGAATCCTGCATAGGAGAACAGTACTGCAAATTTTATAACACATTTGTATGTAAATCATTTCAGATCTTCCCCATTCCTTCCATTTTTTTACAATAAGAATATTTCATTCATTTGCCACAATATCTGACAATTTGTGGCGTCATAAAATGTAGTCTTAACCAGAGCAAGCAAGATGTTGGGCCTGGTTCTCCACAGTCGTTCCCTTGTATACTTACACCTGTACAAAATGAATACAAAATGGGGGTAGAATACTATCAAATAATAGTGTTTCTTCACTCACCATAGACAGGTGTAAATGACCATGCAAGGTGCAAAGGCTGTGAGAATCAGGACCGGTGTCTACACAGGATTATTACTTGAGTAAAGAGACCATTTTTGTGTTAAAGCCAAACATACAAGGCCAAATTCTCAAGTTCTTACTCAGAGTCAAATGCCCTGCTAATCAAGAATGACCCTTGTAGGTAAGTTGAAACCACTCATTGTTTTAAAGTTGCAAGTTTCCTGTGAATTCTTTTGTTGGTGGGTGGAGTTTCCTCCCCTCCCACCCCCCTTTCTGTGAAACAACAGATGGTTTCACCCACTATGTCAGGATATCTGACAGAAGGCCTTATGGCCCTGCACTTCCAATTGACTCTGCCATGCCCTGGAGCATTCTGGACTCCGGGCAGTCCACAGAAGTTTAGACTCTTGTGAGTGGAGTCTACAGACATTTAAGTATTTGCAGGATCAGGGCCTGTATATGCAGTAACTAGCATTGGAGTCTGTGGGCTTAAAGTGGAAAGAGTTGACTAGAGCCCATCCTCTCTCCTCCCCTCCAAACTTATGGAACTTTGAACCCTAAGGGCTCCTCTGTGAAGGGACTTCTTCAGTAGAGTTGGAGAGAATGTGGAAGTGGCACTCCTCATATGTTGGTAGGAAGGAGTCTGCATATAGAGAGTCTTGAAGGGACAATCCTGCCGAACTCAGGCAAAACTTTCATTGCCGTCAATGGGAGTTTTGCCGGAAGAAGAATTGAGTACAAATATTGTAGAAATTTTTGGATTTGACCCCCACAGAAGTAATTAAAAAAAAAAAAACCAATCTGGGTTCCTTCTAACTAAAGATTTGCCAGATGTCTGTGTTAAATCCACATAACTATCCCCTAGATCTCCAAGATGAAACAGGCATACTTTAATTTTACACCCATGATAAAAATTAGTTGAAAATAACCAAAGAAATTGCATATAAAGAATGCAGATTCCTGAAATAGTATTAAATAAGTTAGGCCTCAAACACTGACTCCATATTCTTAAAATGTTGCACAGTCTGATGTTCTACAGATGCTGTTCTGCCTAGATGTATCTAAATGTGGTTTTGTTTTATTTCAGAAAAGTTGTTTTCTTGCTAATAGTTGCTGATGCAAAACTATGTATTATGGGATGGTTTCACTATTGGATTTAGTCCTTTGGTAAAGTCTGTACATAGAAAATCAATATATTTTATGAAAAAAATCATCTTATTTTCAAATATATTTAACTGATATATTTTATTAGAAGGTTGTAAATATTTTAGGAGCTCTAGTGTAAAAATATATATATACTTTTGGGTGGGAAAGCAATGGAAATAAAAACTACATATTTAATGTAGTTTGTGATCTCTTCCAGATATAGCTTCATATTATTAGCATCTGACTTGCATGCAATTTAACTTCAGGATGTAACTTATTCAGATTTGCACTAGGATGGCTTAATTTCACAACTTAATATTTGTTTTGGTTTTTTTGATGGTTTTTGTTTGGATTCCATATACTTGGTACATATCAAAAAGCACTATGTATAGAATATTCAGTACTATTTCTTTTGTAACAAATAATTGTTGTATTTGTAAATCAAAGGGTTTTATGTAACAGTTTGCCAAAAAGAGGACAGTATTTTCTAGTGAATTTTATACTTTTGATAAAATGTAGTTTGTTGGGTTTTGCTACCGTGATGAAAATTTCTTTTAAATAAATTAATCTGTTAAAAAATTGGGGGGTTGACAACACAGTTATATATATGTAATAATATACACATAGTTTACTTTATAGATGCTTTTTAAAAGAGCATTCCTTAATTCTGCTATATGGCACTGGTAAGGCCGCAGCTGGAGTACTGTGTCCATTTCTGGGTCCCAACCTTTAGGAAAGATGTGGACAAATGGGAGGGAGTCCAGAGGAGAGTAACAAAAAATATGATAAAAGGTTTAGAAAACCTGACCTATGATGAAAGGTTACAAAAACTGGGCATGTTTAGTCTTAAGAAAAGAAGACTATGGGAAGGAGTGTGACCGGATACATCTTTAAAAATATTAAGGACTGTTATAAAGAGGACTGTGATCAATTGTTCTCCATGTCCATTGAAGGTAGGACAAAGTCCTGCAGCAAAGGAGATTTAAGTTAGATATTAGGGAAAACTTTCTAACTACAAGGGTAGTTAAGCTCTGGAACTGTGGAATCCCCATGGGAAGTTTTTTAAAACATGTTGGTAAGCACCTGTCAGGGATGGTCTAGGTTTACTCTGTCCTTCCACAGTGTAGATAGCTGGACTTGATGGTCCCTTCCAGATCTACATTTCTAAGATTCTCTGATTCTATATCTGGTAACTAGGATTCCTAAATCATTCCAGTAAAAAGTGTTTTGTTTCCCCTGCCTCCTCCCCATATTAGTGTTAACATTTTTTGGTATAGTTAGTCACAGTAAGTCTTTTCTCTCTAATACTTCTATTTCTAATATTTTAAAATTCTGAGGTGCCATAGCCCTAAAACAAACAATAGTGTATTTAATCTTGTTTCGGAAACAAATCTGTCAAATAAATAACTAAAGATCTCTGTCCTATCTTACATCTGGTATAGTCTTGTCTAAACATTTCTGCTGCTGACATATGCTTACTTGGATATTTTGGAATGTTCTACAACTAGAATCCAAATCCAGAAAGAGCTTCCCGTTACTTCTTTCTCACTCCCTTGAAAATTCCATATCAAAGGCCCTAAAACTGCATTCCTTGTATATCTGAAACTCCCATTGACTCCAGTGTAAGTTTTGGGTGCACAAAAAATACAGAAGCTGAATTATATTACTAGTATGTAGTGCTTGTTAATATATTACTATATTTTTTTCTGGAAATGATGGAAAAAATGATTTTTTTAGGAGGGATGTGGTTAAGGAGCATCTAGTAACCTGTCAAAGAATAGGGAGGTCATTCCATGATGTGGTGGCATGAAAACAGCCCAGAGCAAGGTGTGAAAGTTCAATTGTAATCATGTTTGGCTGAGTACAGAGTTTATTGGGTTAAGAAATTTGCACATGCTCAGGGGCTCTATAAAGGGAGAAATGTGTGTGCACCTATATATTTAATCACTATTTGTGTAAAGCACTTTGAACAAACAGTGCGGTTTGTCTTATTTCAGTCTAGTGAAGTATGAGAATTAGTTGTGTCAGTTTCAAAAGCTTTTCACAGAGTTCTAATACAGCTATAACTCATTTAGGCAAATGTAGCTGCTTTTACTTTTGATTGTGTTGTCTTAAGTTTGTAGTTAATCGCATGCCGGAGCTTGGGTACGTACAGATAAGGTCCCTGTGCACTGCTGACTGTTGCAAAGTCTGTCATTGTTCCTACGTTGCACTAGTGACGATGGCCTCCAGCGCTGTTATGCAAGGCCCATTCTAAACATAAGGAGACCAGCGCTGGCCTAAAGCAATTGTAATCGAAGCTCTGAAAGAGCAGGTGACCAGCGCGCGCTGCTGGGCAAAGCGCACCATAACGGAGAGGATACGGGAGAGACAAAATATGTTTGTGGGATCGCGGTGGCGCTGATAAGTTTTTGAGCCGCACTCCGCGTGTCCCGGCTCGAGACGAGCTGGAACCGATTGTTTAGCGGCCTTAACACGCAGCTCAAGGACCCCTCGGGATCAGCCGGCCGAGCAGCAGCCCCAGGCCCCGCCCCAGCGTGGGATCCTCACAGGCAGCGCCGCTCGGGGACGGGCGCCTCTAGCGGGGTCAAGCACGGGACACAGTGCGCAGGCGCGTATTGGAAAATGGGGCCGTGGCCCAGCCTGGGCGGCAGGAGTCCCTGGCTCGCGGCTGGCGAAGGGACGATGGGGTGCAAGGCGGGGCAGCCGCCCAGGGGCCTCTCAGCCTTTGGCAGGGAGCTGCTGAGCCTTCCCCGCGGGCTCCGCCACGGCTGGGGGGCCTGAGGCCGACGCTCTGCTCAGGCGGGGGGCGCTGGCGGTGCCGCCGCAGGCTTTGGGGCGGGGCCTGTTCTGTGTCACGTGGGCGGGGCCTGGCTCCTGCTACTCGAACGCGAGTTACAGGCGGGAGGGCGAACTCTATGGTAGCAGGTTGCGAGTGGAGCCGCTCTATCCTTCCGGGGTCAGCTCTACGGCGCGGTGGCTGCCGGAAGTTGCCGGGGTAGGCGGGGCTGTGGGCAAGATGGCGGCGTGGGGAGGCGTGAGCCGCTTGTGGCGGCGATGCTGCCAGGTACCGGGGGCGCGGGACGGGCAGCAGCGACAGGGCGCGCGCACCCCAGGGACTTCCCCGCTCCGCGTCCAGCCGCCCCAGTGCTCAGCGCTCTCCTGACCCGAGCCCTCGGCTGCGCCTCAGCCCCCGCCGGGTCCCGGGCTGGAGCAGCCGCCACCCTTCGCGCGCTAGGGCCCTGCCCCGTGCCGGGGCTGCAGCCCTGGGGGCTCCCGGCTCTGCTGCACGTACCCGCAGCGGGGCTCGGGCTTCTCGGCTGGCGCCCAGGGTGCCGCGCCAGCTGGGCCAAGAACTGAGCGGCCACCGCCAGTGTAGTGCGAAAAGCTGCTTTGCATCTTCCTTTGCCACTTAGGGTGTAGTGAGCATGCTCAGTATCTTCTGCTGAAGCCATTGCCCTTCCCCCTGCCCTTACTTGGCAACAGGTTCCTCGGACTGCTTTGTACAGGGATTAAAAGCAGGGCCGGTTCTAACTTTTTTGCTGCCCCAGGCAAAAAAGAAGAGCGCCGCCCCGCCGTAACATCCTCCCACCCCCAGCGCCGGGCCAACCAAACCCCCGCCCCGAGCGCCGGGTCGCCCAAACCCCCCAGCGCCTCGCTGGGCTGGCCAAACCCCCGCCCCCCAAGCGCCGGGCCAGGCCGCCCAAACCCCCGGCGCGCTGCCCCGCTAAACAAAAACACCGCAAGCACCCCCCGCCACCCCAACATTGGCCACTTCTTATAAGGTGCCACCCCAAGCACATGCTTGGTCGGCTGGTGCCTAGAGCCAGCCCTGGTTAAAAGGGGGCAGATCGGCAGGGGATGGCCTGAGTCTGAGCAGGGGGTGGAAATTGACTGGTCAGGGGGTTCAAGCAGTTGGAGGCAGGCTTAGGATAGGGGCTGAAAGGCAAAATCAGTTAGGGGGATAGGCACTGGGGTTAAGCCCAGGGGTGAGGCACTGTCAGAGGGCAAAACTGGGGCAAAGTAGGTGACTGTTACCCCGGTGGACCGAGACATCAGTGTTTTCAAAAGTGGGAGAAGGAGCAGAGGGACTTTTTCATATCCCCTCCCACAGGACAGCGCCTCTCAGAATGGGCTTCCCAAGGCTGGGTTCTTAAAGGCAAAGGCATCCCAAGGCATAGTCACCGCAGCTCCTCTCAGTGTGATGTAATCTGCTGAGGTGCTTAGGGAGACTTGATTTGGTGAAATATTTTACATATAGCCCTGAAAAACAAAGAATCCGTTATCAGTTTATATGACTGCATAAAGTCTCATAGCAGTTCATAAATTTGTCTTATTTGCTGCTGGGATTCTCTAAATTACTCTTAGCACTTCATCATTTACCTTTGTTATTGTGCTATTTAATTTATACATATTTTCAATGAGTATTTGTTATTAAAATATAAGTACGTACTTGCTAGTAGTTTTAGCAATGACATCTGTCTTTCTAGTATTGCACTTGCTATGTTTTGTTAGCATAGTAAATGAAGCTGCAAAATAAATGATGTTTAAATGACTTCACTCTATTAAGAGGTAATTGATGCTTATGTACACCAGGCAGGGTTGTTTGGAAGCTGAAGACTTCATGTTTCCATCCAACAACAGTCAAGTTTTAGCAAATTAGGACACGTCACCAAAAAAGAACAACCGTACGTATCAGTAACTGCTACTGATTACAATTTGCTACCCCGGTCCAGTAGCAGATTAGGTCAGATAGCAACTGCTGCTAGTAGCAAATTACATCAGTTAGCAGTTTTTCACACTACACTTGCTCATGGCATCTGGCCCAGAGAGCTGCACAGAGACCATCACCTTGAGGGGTTGGGTAGCACCCAGGAGCCCAGCCTGCCAGGGCTGTACAAAGGCAGAGCAAATAGGCAGCCCCGCTCCAAGAGTTGACAGTCTTTTACCCCTGTTTCTAAGTTTTATGTTTGTTTCATTCTAAGTTAAAGTCCAAGACCTGGACCATGTTCAGTTAATACTGAGTAGCCGGCTGTGCTGCGGAAGCCCTGCTTGAATTTCTCAGGTTCTTCGCTTTGGCTAATAGTGTTTGACTTCCGTGTCAATGCAGATGACTCCTGTGGATTGACTCAGGAATTTGTAGCTAACATGACAATCATGGGAATGTCTGCTCTACTCATGTCATTGGCCACATCTGGGCTGGAGTTGGGGGTTATAGCTTTGGGTATAAAAAAGGTGTTCTTAACTTGGATTAGTAATTTAGGTTCAACTCCAGGCTCTCCTATAGGCTTTAACCTAAACTACAAATGAGTTGAAAGCAGAGTTGCTGTGTCTTCTATGCTATTTTAATCCAAGTTAAGAACACCCTTTGGAGGAGGGGTAGGGTAGATATACCCTTTATCCAAGACTATTGATTTAGGGCTGTATCTATCCAGGTTGAGCAAAAGTCCTGTTTCAGTGGTCCAGCCTTGTAGAGTATCTATCAGGGTCCATCACAGATTGCTTTCTGGAAGTGTACTCTTTCTAAAAGACAACTTTAGCTATGAATTGGTTGGATTTTATAATCTATTGTTCATGGCACTGATATAGTGGCCCCCAAAAGCCATCTCCCAGTCGTGCCCTGGCATGGTTACTGTGGCTTACAGATTACTTGGTGGGTGAAGCAAAGAGATGACTAGCATGTGGGAAGTATCTAACTGAGAAAATGAATTTTGAAATTTATGCTGTGGAAGTGAGAGAGAAAGATTTGGGACTAGGCTACTTGAGGGACTGCTGTTTTACCTATCTAATTTCTGCAACAATTGAGGTCAGAGAAGGTGCTTGAGTTCTCTCAAGTTTGAGAGTAAATTACCAGTTGGGGTTCCCCATTAAGTCCCTCTACTTTGGAATTTGCTTTCTTCCTGAGTCAGCCAGAGTCTGGACTTGTTAACATTCCAAGCTCCAAGGTTTGCTTTTTTCCTGCGGTGCGTATGGGGGGAGGACAAAGTTGAGGCTCTTTTGGATGACTGTTGTTAGGAGAGGACCAATTTTGTTTTAGCCAGGAGGTTCAGCCTATATATGGAATTTGAATTTGTACTGCAGTTTGTTAGAGTGTCTGTAGCCTTGTGGGATGGCCAGCTTTTGAAATAAATTAAAAAATATTTGACTTAAATTGTAGAATAAATGGAACTATTACAAAACTTATATTTTAATATGTGCTGAATGTCCCTCCCACTATATGTATTCACCAATTTACCTTACAGTCCAACTTTTAACACATTTTCAGATTACCGTCAGTTTTATATAGCAGAAGCACATGACTATGTACTGTCCCTGTACACATTATTAGCACAATGCAAGAAAGGAAAAAGTGTGCAGGAATAATGCTTTACACATTTAAATAATGTTAAAAAGGCTATAACGTTTGGTACCACGAAGGAACACAACTCCCCAGGCTGAAGATTTAAAAACAAAGCTTGATGAAACAGTAGATCACTTTAAACACTGAATCGACTACAAATGTTTGTGTCTAGAATGAAGTTTTAAAAACATCAATTGCAAAAAATGGAATGTGTGGAAGAATATAAATCTGCCATTCAGTCAATTAAAAGGGATAAACAATGCACCAAGGTGTAAACGTAATACCTATTGTGAACTTGAGATGCCCACTCTTGTTTTGAGGAGAGGAAGGACATTAATTATCAAACATCTTCTCTTCTCATTCATTTTATATGGACAATCAACTTTCTCATTAATTTCAACATATTCTGCTATGTAATATTCTGTAGTTATGAAAGTTAGTGTGAGGCTTACAGTAGCACATGGTGAATATAACGTGTATATATATTTACATACAAACAACTATATTAAGATTGCAGAGTCAGAAGTTAGAAAACGTTGGAATTAAGGTTGCCTGTACAATCTTAATTTGGCCCCCTTGTGTATATGCGTTATAATAGTCTTTACTTACATTATCACCGTTTTTTCTGCAGGACCCCTGCCTCATTCAGTGCCCAGGTTAGACGGTGCTAACTGTATGGGTGGCTATTCAGTATATCTTTTATACTCATTCAGTGTGCAGTCCCATTCAATATTTCTGCATGCCATTCATGCGCTTTTTTGTGGTACTTATCACAAATGTTAATGAACTTATCTTCACAAAACCATTGTAAGCTAGGGAGGTGGCATTATCCCTATTGTAGGACAGGTGATGAACTAAGGCATAGAGAATTTACAGCCAAAACTGTCAGGTATTCACTACAATCAGGAGACTTGATTTCTCAAAGTAGTTAGCATTTTTATAGCATTTCATATGTTCAATGCACAGCTCTAATTGACTTTAGCTGCAGTTGTGAGTGCTCAGCTCTTCTGCAAATCTGACTCCAGGTGTCTCAAGTTGGGTACTTTGAAATAAGGAACACAATTTGTAGCCACCTGTGAATGTTTTGGTTGAAGTGACTTGTCAGCATTACGTAAGAACTCCATGGAAGAGGCTGAAATACTATTCAGTTCTCCAAGGTGATATTCAACCGCTTAAACTGAAAAACCCTCCTTTCTTTCCCTTACAGTCTTTCCTCATTCACTACACACCTCCTAACGTCTGTAGCAAATGAGAGAGGTGCTGCAGACAACAGCTTCATTCACGACACAAGCCCGATTCATTCCCTGAACACAATTTATAGTGTGGAGTGAATGAGCCAGGGGTCTTGTGGGAAAAAATAGCATGTGATCATGTAATTAAAGACTAGATACACAAGGGGACACATTACAGTTGCATGGAAAACCTTAACTCTAGCATGTCTGTCCTCCCTTTTAAGTGCTTGACTTTGGAATATTAACTTTCTTTTAAAATAGATTTTTGCATGTAATTTCCTATTTAAAAACAAAACAAAACTGAAAAACCAGAACCATATTGACCTAGCTTGGATCAATAGCAGGCTTGGAATGTTTAGATACATAGCACAGGTCTCTACCATTTGAGCTAATGAAGTAACTGGTGGTAGTAGCAGGTTTTTCTCCTCTTGTGTGGACCATCCACTAGAGGGAGATGATACTTGCCAGTGGGTTTCACAGCTGTTTGCTAGGCAGCAGAGGAGAATTTGGACTCAGGAATCCTGTATTCTGTTCCAGATTCTGGAAGTGAGTGTGCTTTTGCTGTAACAGACTCTTCTTTCCCTGCCTGTCCTATTCTGCCCCTGTGAAGCCTATCTCTGTGACTCCCCTTCTCCCCCTAAATTCCAGTGAGGCATCATCCTTTTCCTCCTGGGTGCTAGCAGGGGGACCATTGAGAGTATAGGTGAGACAGTCTCCTTGCTCTGAGTTCCACTGCCCCAGCATGTGGGTACTGAGAGCAACAATGGTTGGACGAGTCCTGCTTAGCCCCTGGAGCCCTGGACTGGAACAGGCCAAGTCACTCTGGGGATGTTGCCTGCTCAGTCTGGTTGGCCCATAGGAGCTATATGGGGTGGAGAGTGCTCACTAGAGATAGAATCTTACCTGATAATTTACCTGCTAAATTCTAACACGTCGCTACTGAGCCTTTGCAAACTCTGATTTTTCAGAGACAAGTAACTTGGCCAAATTTGGTGAATTGTCACAGGGACACAGTTAGCAAAGTCTGTAATTGTACTGTGAAATACTGTATGTATTGCTATATCCTGCATTCAGAAATGGAATGACATCACATGCTCGAGTCCATTATTGTGCTAATAAAATCAGTAATCTTCAATTTTTGTATTGAGTTCTAACTCAGAGATATTCTTATAATTATGCCTTTGTATCGTTGGTAATCAATTAGTTTCTTCCTCAGTCCTCTTATTTGCCGGTGATTATGTAGGTAGGCATATTTAGTAGGAAATGAGTTCATATATTTTTTGTATGCATGTAATGGTAATGTATTGACAAGTAAAGTAACTGTTAACCCAAAACATTTTTGTGTGTGAGCTAGTCAGATTTGCATTTCCAACACACAAACTTAAATGTGGAATTTCTGCACAGATTAAAGGTAATTTCCATATTACGTTAGTTTTGAATCCTTCTAGACAGATACCATACAAATTAATTAAACTAGTCATTTTATGATGTGTTCAGCTGAGGGCAACATTCACTATGAACCCTAGGTGTAAATGGACTTTGTTTAGGAATCAGTGACGTTTATTCAGGCCTGTGCACTGGAATAGCAGCTGCTGCCTTTTTATACCCATCATGCAGCCATTCCAAACTACTCGGTCTACGTTCCCTTCAGTGCCATCATCTTTGGAGCAAGAACGAAACTCCTCTAACCAGTCTGTGTCTCATTGCTCTGCACCAACACTATGCACACACTATGCATTTAATCTTTCATATGCTAAGTTCTTTGTGGTACCTCCAGACTTATATTTATATATTTTAGTCTAGAAAACAATAACTAGCTTTTAACAAATCTACATTAAGCCGATAACTTTTAATTTGAAAGACGCCAGCTGATGATTTAACTTATTTTCACAGAGAATAGGGACTTTTCCTGTAAATTACTCAAGCAGAGATACGCCAGAGCAATATCGTTTTCTTCTGTAAGTATAACATTTAACAATGAAGTCTGAAAAACCCTGAGCTCTTAATTTATAATTATGTTAAATGTGGTCTTTTCTCCCTCCTCCCATCTAGAAACAAGGACTTGTTGTGGGTTCAGTTCTCAGGATTCCACACTGATTTACACCATCATAAGGACAATTCTTTGGTATGTGACTAAATAGACCCTGTACTTATTATATACATTCTCAGTAACAAAGCAAATACACAAACTCAGACTTATTTTAGCATAGGTGAGTATTTTTTTAATTATGCAAAATCCCATTAAGAAAAGAATATTTATAGTATGAGTTGAATTATTACTCATTGAGGTCTCATTTTCAATGAGGTCCTAGGGTTACAGTCTGCATGTAGAATAGAAATGTAGTATTCTTGTGGAAAGTCCTTTCATTTTAAAATACGTATGGTACATATTTTAAAAGAAGAAATTTTAATTCCCATTTTATTTATGTTTCATCTTATCCTGATGGAGGGAGTCCTGTGTATTTCTCTTCTGCTACAGAGAGAATTGCCAACAGTGCAGGGCCTGAGAAGGTGACTCTTCTCCAGTGCCAAAAAAAGTAATAGACTGGTTTTAGGGAAGAATCTGCTGAGTTCTACTCTTAACTTCAACTATTGCAAGCCTTACTACATTTTTTTCCCTGAGTCATCTTGAAGAGCCCTCACCCTCCTGATCAAGAACTTTTACCATAGTAGCTTCTGAATGCTCAAAATTTAGAGGCCTGGTCTACGCTAGAAAATTAAGTTGGTTTAACTATGTCACTCAGGAGTGTAGTTAAGTATGCTCAGCCTAATTAAGCCAACCTAACCCCTAGTGTAGACAGCTTCCATTGTTCTTCCATAGACCTAAATACTGCCTCTTGGTGAGGTGGATTATCTGTATCTACAAGAGAATCTAGACCAATGGGCTTAGCTGGAGTGCACAGCTCTGCCATCCTTGACAGAATTGGTAATAGTGGCCAATTAGCCACAGGTTGACAAAACTAAAAAGTACAATTAGGTTGAGCTGCCTATAGTATTTTCCCCCATATAGGATAGTAGGGTGTACAAGATAAATGTGTATTGTATTAATTAATTAAGGGTAGTATAGAGTTATCACCTAACTTGTCTTTTTCTTACAAAATGTAGGTATCCATTTCAGATGAACCGGACACATTATACAGGAAATTATCAGTTTTAGTTAAAGGCCATGATAAAGCTGTGTTGGACAGTTATGAATATTTTGCAGTGCTTGCTGCTAAAGAACTTGGCATCTCCATTGAAAAAGTGTAAGTCTAGGTGACCTGGTCTCAGCTGCTACTTGTAAAACACCACCCCTTATGGCATCCATAGTTATAGATTTTTGAGGTATGGAATTTACTTTCGCTAAGTGTTTCAGAAGTGAAAGATGTACACTGATGGTATTTTTTAACTAATTTGAAGCCATTGGGATATTTCCCTGACCAGTTGTTTTAATTATTTTCCTTGTTATAAAATCCTACACGAGTTGTTTTTTTTTAAAGTTGGTTTTACACAGTGCCTTTCACACAGCAATAGGATACAATAATAGTTCAAGGACCATACAGCCAAAAGCCACAGCTGTTACACACACAGCACTATGTTAAACAGCAAAACATTTATAGAAAAGGGAATCTTGCCCAGGGTTGTGTGTGTTTTTTTTAAAGTACCATTTCAAACTTGCTGTAAGGACAGCATCACTGACTGTGCAAGCAGCCCCCTAGGTATCATTATCACCTTGCTGAATTTAGTGGGCCTGTTTTTCCCCCCGGGTCTTTTAATAATTATTAAGCCAAAATATAGCTGTGATACCAAAATACACTGGTACTTTTCACACTGCCTCATTCACTTGTGCAAATGTCAATTAAAGCAGGGATCCTGGCATTAAGTCCTGGTGGGTTATGTAGATAATGAAAACAGTGGTTTGATCTAAAAGGGGTATGAATGTGATTTAAAATATGAAATAATGTGTTTAAATGATTGTGCATGTTAGACATGAACCTCCCAAGAAGATAGAACGATTCACCCTTCTGAAGTCAATACACATTTTCAAGAAGCACAGAGTTCAGTATGAAATGAGGACACATTATAGATGCTTGGAGGTGAGTGAGTGTATTTGGGGGAAGGAGAGAGCTCAAATAGAACTTCACATATAGAAAATGCAGTTTTGTCAAGTATTTAATGTTTGACACTCACTAAAATTCCTGAAATGTGTGTACTGATTTTACATTTAACCCCAGCGTGCAGAACTTCCTAATCCTGTCTCAGTAGATACTAAAGAGAATACTTGTTATATTTCATGCACCTTATATTAAAATAATACTACTGAAAAGTATGGTTCTGAGCACACCATTTTCCACATCGTATCTTTTATATTAATTAAAAAATTAGAACAAAATGGCAGATAAACCATCCCACAGTTGCCTTTAAAAATAACTACCTTCCTCTTAAAAACCAGAAAAAACCTGGCCACCACCCATGTCTGTTGAGGGGAAGAGATTGTCAATTAATGTACGTTTGTAGTGTGCTTAGCATAGTAGGGCCCTGACCTAGTTTAGGATGCTAGGATGTTATATAATACCCAGAGGCAGCCTTTCTAAATATAGGCTGCACTAATCAAACTACAAGTTAATTGCAGAAGGATCTGTAGGTAAACAAAGGTGTATGTGTTTCTACAGTTGCAGAATACGGGTGTTAAGCAAACCCCTAGTCTGGGAGTACCTTCTCCTACTAACTCTGCATGAGTGCAAAGATGATGCTAATCTTTTGCCTGTGGTGAAGGGAAAGTTGACCCTGAGTGCTCTAGGTTTTCTAACTCTGAGGAAATTTTCCTATCAGTGTATGCCTATATCATTATACAGTGATATGTTAATAGCAGAAAATATGGCTACTTTTATTTTTAAAACATTTTCTGTGTTGTTCTAGTTAAAACATTTAACTGGCAGTACAGCTGATGTCTATTTGGAATACATCCAAAGAAATTTACCTGAAGGGGTTGCCATGGAAATAAAAAAGGTATAATTGAATTGCTTTCTTGAATTTCTAGTAAGAGCTGTGGGATGAGTCAAGTTTTAAGATGAATCAGATGACAAATGGTAGCTGTTGATATCTGCTGGGACTAACAGCAAGTGTAATTTCTGGAATGTGCAGCGGGAGGGGGAGAGAGGAGAACATGCAGAGATTCAGGGCTGGAGAGCAAGGGATCCAAACAGTGGAAAGCACAAGATGAAGAGGGGATGGAAGCTGTGCTATTCTTAAAATGGCTTCTGCCACTTGGTGGCCTTTCATGTACCTGAATAAGTATTTGTAATTTGATTTAGGTAAATATTAATACAGCAAAATAATTTATTCTGAATGAGGGAATTGTCACATTTAAGGTGCAGATTGGTAGGTATAATTGTTTGTTTTGTTTTTAGACCAAATTAGAGAAACTACCTGAACATATTCAGAAGCCAATTTGGGACAAGCTACCTTCAGTAGAAGAAACTACAAGCACGTCATGAGCTCTTCATCTACTAAAGCTTTTTCACATGTTAGCAACGGAAGCTCAACCTGTGCCTGTTAACATTTTAAACAAAGCATCTTCTCACAGGAGTTACCCTCTATCCAACCTCAAACCCTGTCCTAATTTTACAAAGAATACTTAAAAATTATGATGAGACAGGTCATTTGCTACCCTAATTATCAGTGAGTTAGGATCCCAGCTCCAGGCCACTAGCAGAAAGACTGGACTGTGAAAATGTTTTGTCTGTTTTTCTTTTTTCTAAGTCTTATGTGGCCAGAACTTGGTAAATGTACATGAACAGGTCATGATGTACGGTAATGGTTTATTTGTGCATAAACACCACAGGATTTGTGAATTTACTGTCACTGAGGCTGATATTTGAAGCACATATCTCAGAGTTCTTATGACCCATTAAATTTTATTTAAAATATTTATTGCTGGGATAGTCTCCTGAAAAAGATTACATTTATCTTCTCTTGTTATACTTGGCAAGCTGACAGTAAAAGCACATTGAAGAGAACTTTCAGGACTTGTTTTAGTATTCATCACTCAGCTGAGCAGGTGGGGCACTTACAGGTCAGGTCAGTTTCTGCTGGGAAGCAAAATCAGTAAGACTGGGTATTTTTTAAAACTTTTTGTTGTATACACTTTGAACTATGTTGTCAAATACCACCCAGGAAATCTCAGATCAGACACAAACACTATTATCAAGCAGCAACTGAGTCTCCCTAGGATCCTTTCTTGATACAATGGCAAAGAGCAAACTCTCTAGCTACTTGCCAGTTCCCCCAAAATATCTGCATCACAAACTGAATACAGCATTTCTCCCATGCTTGTATAGTAAGGGCTTGTCTACACATACAGCATTGCAGCAGTGCTTAGGGAAGACATTGCCCCTGGTGATGAGCTTCTCCAGTCACTGTATGTACTCCGTCTGAGGTGGTAGCTATGTTGATGGGAGACCTGTTAACATAGTGCTGTCTACAGCAGGAGTTTGGTTAGTAAACTGCATTGCGCAGAACACCACAGTTATACTGACATAAGTCTGTAGTGTAGACCAAGCCTAAGAAAGAGCATTTGTAAAATTATCTTTAACAGCATCATCTGATGATGTGTTATAATGGTATTAACTTGGTCTCAACACAAGTGTATTAATTGCAGCTGTAAAAGGCTTTTTTCCATGGGGGCCCTGAAAATGGGGCTCTTACACTACAGCCTACAGTCAGTTCTATGTGGAAGCTCATCCTTTCCCCCCCTTTTCTTCCATGGAGCTTGAGAGGGCTTCCTGAAGAAGTGGGTGAATGATTAGCACCTTAGCCTACAATGCAGACTTAGTTGGATTCCCTTCTCTTCTACAGCCAGAGAGAGCTGGTAAATAACTTACTCTACACTTCAGCAGGCCTACAGGAGTGGAGCTGGGACCTGGACTGCTGGGGTGCAGCAACAGAAGGAAGGGTCTGAAGGAGCCACAAGAACTGCTGTGGGGAGTGACTACTAGCAGAGCTGGCCAAAACTGAGGCTTTCCAAGTTTGAGAAATTGGCATTTTTAATCTTTTTGTTCTAATTTGGAATGAAACCCAATATTGAAATTTCTTGAAACCACAAATACCCCATAAGCGTTTTTTTAAACAATTTGCTCCCTGGGATCAACAGCTGCTGAGTGAAACTGCTATTACCCAGCAGTTCTAGCCATAATAATGGTCCTTTAGAATAGAAGGTTTTTTTTTTTTGTGGTTTGGAGGAGATGGAATGGTGGGGGCTGCAGTGAATTGAAAGAAGGCTCTAAGAAGAGGGGGATTAGCAAGCTTTTGATACTGGTTAATTGTGTCCAGGATAAGCCTGCTCTTGTTATCAGTTCAAAAACAGTTACCTATATTTTGTTTCTACTTACAAGCTGGCAGGGAACATTTAAGGCAACAAAATGTTTTATGGAGCTCAAATAGGTTATAGTAGGAAGTAAATTCTTGAGGCCTTAGTGGCCCAATGGGATAATGAGCTAGCTTCTTCTAGCAGCAAATGATTGTTTACATCACACCTAAACAATAGTTGGCTGGCCTCATCTTTTTGCCCACAGGCCCACTGTGAAATTTAGCATTATACTTGGGCCCAAGATTAGAATAGTGAGGTACCTGTCAGTCAGAAGAAAGTGTATTAATAGATCATGGGGGTTCTAGAAGCACTAGAGAGCTACTAGCGGACAAACCCAGTCCCCTGCCAGGGAAAGGTCAATCTGCTTCAGCAGAGTAGATGTAAAAAGCACGAGGAGCTCTGCACACCATGTGACTCTTGCAACTATTCATCTCACCAACCTCAAGTTATTTAAAATCACACAGCCTTTATTGTAACACCTAGCAAGAGATTCAACTGAGGGGCTGTGCTTTAAAAACAGAAGTAAGTAAGTGGAAGGAAGGAGGACTTTTGGACCCCCACAGTCACTAGAGTGTAGTGTACAAACACACTCCTTTCTCTATGAGCAGACTCCTTTTCTGCCACAACCCACTGTGTGTTGGGAAAAAGGAGAACCTTACTCAATTGTATGGCGGGGAGGGCTCTGATCTCATTGGCCATTTTCAGGGGGAGGAAAGTAATGTAACTTTCAGGGCACAGTCTTTTTTCTTTATATGTGACCTCTTAAAAGAGCTGTCAGACAGGAAGAGCCCAATAACTTTAGCCCTCAAGTACATTCTATGTTCCTTCCATTCCTAGCTGACTGATGGGAAACAACACAGATTCCAACCCCTACTACTCTGCTAAACACAGGCAACAGGCGCTGTGGGGAGATAGTTTGGGGGAAGTTCTGCTGTAGCGCTCTTAGTAGAAAAAGAGCTAAGATGGAGGGAAATCAAACAATTAAATTAGTGTGTCAATAAAGCACACTGTGCCAGCCACAAAGCTTCATTTACTGCATGGCCTTGATTTTGCTAGCTACTCAGGATATTCACATCAAACTCATTATCAATAAATCTGTTTGAAATGTATGTTTTTTCTGTCATCTGTTCAGCTGTCAGGAATACATCTAGAATAAAGGTGGGATTTTTTAATCTCTTATTAACTAAAACCAAACAGACACTAGGTCTTTAGGACACAAAAATAAATAGAACATGAAAAAGACAAAACTACTGATATTTTATCTACCTAATGTAAGTACAGAGACAAAGGACTTTTGGGAGGGGTGGGGGAGTTAGTCTACTGAGATCAGATTCTCTAGGCCAGGGGTGGGCAAACATTTTGGCCTGAGGGCCATATGGGGTTCCCAAACTATATGGAGGGCTGAGTACGGAAGGCTGTGCCTCCCCAAAGCCTGGCCCCCGCCCCCTGACTGCCCCCCTCAGAACCCTTGACCCATCCAACCCCCCTGCTCCTTGTCCCCTGACTGCCCCCTCCTGGAACCCCCACCCCTAATCGCTCCCCCAGTACTCCACCCCCATCCAACCAGCCCCTGCTCCCTATCCCAACCCCATCCACACCCCCTGACAGGCCCCCCAGGACTCCACACCTATCCAACCCCCTGCCCCGCTCCGACCATGCCACTCAAAGCCCGGCCGGAGCTAGCCACACCGCCGCGCTGCCTGGCAGGAGCTCGCAGGCCCGCCGCCCAAAGCACTGGTTGTACGGCGAGCTGAGGCTGCGAGGGAGGGAGGACAGCAAGGGAGGGGGGAGGGGCCAGGGGCTAGCCTCCCGGCCGGGAGCTCAAAACCCCAGCAGGATGGTCCCACGGGCTGGATGTGGCCCACGGGCCGTAGTTTGCCCAACACTGCTCTAGGCAGTGGTTCTCAACCTTTGGGCCACTGTCCTCCAGAGGGATTGTGAAACTTTTTTCTGGGGATATACAATTGTTTTACAAAATCTAAGCTTTCATTTAAAAATGGTTCTAGCCTTTCTAGTTGGGAAGGGAACCTGAATGGAAATAGCTGTAGGAATTAGTATAATAGAATAAGTATCAGAGGGGTAGCCGTGTTAGTCTGAATCTGTAAAAAGCAACAGAGGGTCCTGTGGCACCTTTAAGACTAACAGAAGTATTGGGAGCATAAGCTTTCGTGGGTAAG